AAATGGCATGAATTACCCAGCGAAGTGGGCAGGTAATGGCTTGCTAATATGATACACATAAACGTTTCTTCGCGCTATCTTTCTCTTGAAGACACATAGTTTAATATTCTAAAAAAACTAAAGATATAGTGGGGAGTTATTTTAAATTTGATTTATTACCGATTATTGGGGGGTATAAAAAAAAAGTGAGGCCTATCTTTACGTATTTATACACAGCGTACTTTTTTGCAAAATGAAAAAAGAAAAAAAATCCATATCAGAATTCATGATTCTTCTAATAGCCTCTACTTAAAATATTGCAGCGATCGCGAAAACTTTTATACCACATGTTGTTGTAGTGGCTAATGCCACCTGTCTGACATAGTCAGAACGAGGCCCACGAAATTCATCGTGGCAAGGGGCTAGAATTACGCCTGTCGTTGGCCTAGGCCTTGAGCACCATACAGGTGACATTACGAATTAGCTCGGCGAAATTCCCCGAAAGGACGATAGATGGCGATTCCACCTATCTCCACCTTCTCAATTTTGTCATGGGACTGGAGGGGAGGGAAATATTCTCCAGCCTTTTGCACTCGTGATACAGCCCACAAGACTTTCGGACTCACTGATTTAACGAGCGCGTACTCCGTGTGTACTCGGAGGGTATTTGGTGGCATCGGGCATCGAACCCAGGCCTTCCGGTCTGGAGTTCGATGCTCTAACCACCAGGCTACCCACGACCCCTTTATACCACATAGTTTAGGTTAACGTTTGACTCGTTTTGAAAGCGAAATCGTCGTTGAAGTAAAATCAAATGTGTTCCTAATATTAAACAAGGAACATACAGTTAATTTTTCTTTTGCAAATAAAGTTATATTTTTCTAAGAAATTTTTTTCTTAAATTGTACTTTTAATGCCCTGAAGTCAAGCTAAGATACATAACATTAAATTAAAATCTAACAGTCAAAGCATATGGCCGATGCACTACTTAGCCCCATGCCTAGATTGGTGTCCTAGTCAGGAGGTTTCGGAACAGCTCAACTCGTGTAAGTCTCTACCTCAACTATTCATCAATTGTCTGTATCAGAGGTCTTTAACTTGGGTTCCGTGGTGTTCTAGGGTTCCCCGGAACTTTGATAAGGGTTCCGCAAGAGATCGTTACGTGCTTAGCCCCAGTGCCAAAATTTTGGTTAAATTTTAATTTTTATAAAAGATCGTAAATGTAAACAAATAATATAGTTTGAATCACTTATCAGATTTGCACTAAACATAGCTTAGATATTTATTTGTTCAAAAAGAAAACTTTTCTTGGATTTAAAATCCTTTTTAAAAGACTGCGATACCTCCGGACTCTTATTAAGGGGTGTTGGAAAGCTAAAATCTTATTTTTTTTGACAATTGGAGATTTTTACATTTTCAAACTATATAGATTTTAACCTTTCTAAAAATACCTTACTTTAACCTCTAGGGTATTTAGAAGCCCTTAAAACGTATTTTTAAATAATCATTGAATTTGGGCCACGCCCATTTTAATGACAAAAATTGTAAACAAATTACTTTGTTTTTGCTTAAAAGTGTAACGACTAATATAAACCAAAACATGTATCTTTTATTTTAAATTGAGCCTTTTATTTTTTTTATTTTCTAGTCGATTAGAAGTCTCACTGTATACATTAAAATCAATTTATCTCAAAATGTAAATTTTAATGTGCGATGTACCTTTTCTGAGAAACTACTGTTCACAGGTATGTAAATTTTTTATGAATTATTTATAATGATGTCTAATATATACTAAAATGAGCTTTTTGTAAAAAACTCAAAAATTTAATTTTTACAAATTTTTTAAGTAAAAAATGGGTCAAATTTCGCGATGTTTGATAAAATATTTCATAATTTATTAAAAAATTCAAAATTAGCTAAAAGCTCATTTTAGTATAATGAGAGAGGGGTACTTTAATAGTATGGAAAATTTCAAGCATTTAGATAAAACAGATTTTGAGAAAAGGTACATCGAAAACAGCCAATTTAACATTGTCAGTGAAAAGAAAGAGAGAGGTTTCCAACTCCCCTTAAAAGAAAGGGAACAAAAAATTGATATAGCGACCAACACTCAATTGAAACTCGAATTTAGTCAAGTCGTTATGCCTTTCTGGATTGACGTTACAAAAGAATATCCTGAAACTTCCAAAAGAGCTGTGAAATATCTAACGTCATTTGTGTCAACCTATGTATGTGAAAAATTTTCTTTCTGTATGCTGCGTCAAAAACAAAATACAGAATCAGATTGGATGCTGAAGATGACATTAGGTTGAAGATTTCAACAATTATTCCAGACGCAAAAAGGCTTTGTAATAAAAAAAATCATAACGAAGTCCATAAAAAAAGTTTTTCTTTATTAATTTGTAATAATTTAAAACTTTTTGATTTGCTTTTGTTTATTATTTATAGAATATATTTTAGAAAGCCATAAAAACCCTATTAGCTACCTTACCTTTCATAATCTTATTAAGATGTCAGTATTGTGATAAAATAAAAATGCTATAATAGTTTAGTAAATTTGAGTAGGATAAAACTTTGATATCCTATTTTTTCTGCTCTTTGATCAAAATGTTCCTTCAAGAAAAGAGTAAGCTCAAATGGTTCTCCCAAATGTAAAAGGTCGAATACCTCTGGTCTATATCAGATGTAGCAGAAAATACAGAATAAAAATCTCTCTTTAAAAAATTATCACATGGGGTAATAATATCAAGTATTTATCTGTTAAGTCTTTTTTTAATATTCGTTTCGATGCTTTGATACAATAAAAATTTGTCTCTAAAAGTGTTTCGTATTCTAACCTTTTGACTTACTCATTATTGGTTAGATTGATAACATACAGTGAAAATCGTTTAATACGACTGAAATATTTTTTCATGTTAAAAGAATTTCATTTTAAAAGGCTTTTCGTGTTAATAGGTATTTCAAAAAACATCTATTTAACAAAATTAGTACATTTTTTGCTCTTTTTAAAGTTAATTAGAGTGCATAATTTTCTCTATTTATTATTATTATTGTTGTTGTTGATAATGTAGAGTTAGCAATACCAAAATCTTTACAGATTTCCATTTTCATCTTCTGTTTTTGATCAACAGCCTTAAAAAACTCCATCTTCGTTTTAAGCGAAAAATAGCAATTTGCTTTCCCCTTGAGCTTTTTGCCTTAGTGCTCGTAAAAAAACTCTTCTAAAGTAAAGAGAAAGAAAAAAGAAAACCGCGAACGAAACTCACTGATTTTTACACATATTGTACTCGTTACCGAATGAGAGATGAGATGTTTTGTGCCACGTTTGTAGAGATGGAGGGTGAAAGTAGCTTAGGTAAACAAAATTGACTCGTGTCACAGACAATTCCGAGGGTATTTCAAAGCCAAGTTTCCCTCCTTTCTACAAAATACGAGAAACAATCTCTCTTTCGTTTCACACTCGTCTTTAATCTTGCCTGCGCGGCTGGTGTTTTCCGTATTTTGTTCCTTCCCGGAAGGGAAATCTTTTCATATTAAGTGATTTTCGTTTCGAGTTAAGAGAAAAAATGCATGACAATACACAGTAGTTTATCGGTACTGTTGTATTATTTCATGTTAACCGATATTTCGTCTTAAGCATTTTGGTGTTAAACGTATTTCACTGTATTTTAAATGCTTTACACTACCTAGTAATAAACATACTTTCAAGAGCCTTCAGAAAGGAAAACTTTTCTTTTCTCACTTATATTTTCAAATAATTTCTAGTTGTTGACTCTAATAGGCAATAATTATTAAGGCTGTTTTCGGCGAAAGTACGAGAGCTTGAACTAAACGCGAAGCACATTTTCAAACAGAAAAATGCCTCAATATTCATGGAAATTTGGAACATTACAACTCATACATCTGTTAACAATATAGTGTTTTTAAAAATTTCAGAATATTCAATGAATACTCTCCCCCCCTTTTTGAATACGTGCATTACGGTACAGGAGAAAAAACGCAAAAAAATTACATACCAAAAAAACCACAAAAATTATTACATACCAAAAAAAAATGGATCAACTCGGTTAAAAATGGGATGTATTATAAAAATTGCTGCTCTCTAAAGCATAGTGAAGCCACAATATATATCATATTAATTTTTCATTCCTTTTATATCTAAAAAAGTGTTCCAAATACGGTCCTCTATTCTTTAATATTAACCGAAGACAGCCTTAATCTTAATTACTTCAAAAAGCAAGTGATGTCAAATGAAAAGGTTCTTGAGAGTAGAAAGAGAATTGTATCTATTCATCTTGTCGTTTTCTTAAAATCGTCGGATATCAGCGGCACCACGTACTTTAGAAAGAGATATATCCGTCATATATCTCCCCTCGTTGGCGTAGTTATTTCATTCGAGCGTATGGGATCATTCTGCTTTGGTGCTAATGAAATGAGACATATTAAATCACCCGTGTCCTCACTCCAAACGCATCGTGTGAGTCCTACAAATTGTAATTTTGACAGCATACGGTAGCTTAGCGTCAACATTATCATCTTTCATGTATATTTCAAAAAGTCTGGTGTAATATTATTACAAATAATTTTAAGTACATTGTAACATTCATTTTGAATATGCTTCTTTTGATTTAAGGAATAGTTTAGCAATTCATGGTAATAAATCTAAAAATTGTTCGGATGCATCTTCAAAGAATCGAAATTACTAATTTTGTGTAATGTGATTGTAAAAGAACAATTAAGTCAATTCCTACTTTGGTCAACAAAGAAAAATTTTAATTATTTTTATTTTAGTTACTTTTTATTAAATAATTACAATTTTATAAATATGTATATACATAGGACAGAATCCGAATATTAAGTGGCAAAATAGAAAGCGATTTTTTTTTGCAATTTTCCACTTTCCTTTCTATATAGGGTGTTGGACTATTATTTTTGTTTGTTACTATTTATTCATTTATTAAATTTAAATATTCTAATAAAATAGTATAGTAAAAAAGAAACACAATTCTCAGAAATTAGGACATCCCAAGTGGGATTCGAACCCACGACCTTAGGATTAGAAGTCCGACGTGTGCTATCCGTTGCACTACAGGGACACAGCGAGCGATTTTCCTTTGTATAAGTGCTGTTGGACTATTATTTTTGTTTGTTACTCTATTCATTTTTTAATTTAATTAATGATTTAATATTTGAAAAAAAACTGTATTAACATCAAGTGTCATCCCCTACTAGTTTAAAAAAATGTATTTGAACTTGAGTGGATGAATAAAAAGTATTTTATTAACGTTTGAAAATTTGAACAAGATTTATAGGGAGAGTGTGAACTAATAGTAGGAATTGAAAAACAACGAGTTTTTGTTTAGTATATAACATATAAGTACATTTTTTTTTAAAAGCATGTACGCTAGAAAAATAAGTACTTAACAAAAATTATTGCGATTTTAGAGTGTGTCTTATACGAATTTTTTTATTTCATTTCATTTATTTTGTTTGATCAAAAGAAAATTACGTCAGAATTTTATCATTATTTTGTTATTTAACTTATCAATTTAGCTACAAAAGTAAACTACTAACTGGATATTGAAAATAAAAATTTAATATATTCAAAGACAAGCATGTCAATAATTATTACAAAAAATAAGTGTTTTCAATAAGTTTTTTAAAAAAAATATACCATGAGTATAGGCCAGAGATTTCTAATAAATAAATCGCACAAAATGTTAACATATAATGATTCTTTAAAAATTATTCATGTAATACGCTTGTTTGAATATGGGATTATTATTATTCTATTATAATCAAATTCTATTCCTTGTTATCTAAATTATATTTTTATAATTAATCGAATTGCATTTGTATTATTAATGTGTTTTGTATGTTCATTTATATGCTATACTTAATATTTCTATTCAATTCTTATTATTATTTACAATTTCTATTTTACATGAATTTCGTGTAAAATAATTAGTTTTACTGTCATGCCTTTTACCAACGCCATCTACTGTATTTATCTTTTGCCCGATGGCAATATGTTGTTTGTGTAACATAATCTCTCTTTGTGGAATGTTCAGTTCCTGTACTGTCTCGCTACGAGAGGTTCTCGCCGCAGAAATCTGCTGGCATTTGTCTAAATCTTTCTACGCAAAATTAAAGTTGTTAAGTTTTAAAAGCAAGAAGCTTTATATATTAGTCCCCTGGGGTGGACAATGATCTTAAATATAATATCTATGGATATAACTCTAGATGTTTAATGATTGCCACTGTAGAAGCAAACCGAAAATTTATGTACTCGTACTGGGTTGTTATTTTCAATCGGAATTTGTAGTCGCAGTAATGTATTGGTCATGGTCACGAGCTCGTGGTCGGCGTGTCATGAGTTTGAGCCGTTGTGCCTCCCAAAACTCACCATGCAGAAGAGACTGATGCACGTCAAATCTGTCTTGACTGTTAAATCCTCCCGTTGATGTGGTAGTTTGGAGAGGGAGGTGTTAGCTCAGATGTTGTTTAAACTTGTCTTTGGTTCAAACTTACGAGATCCATTGCCAGTAGCCATTGCTTTGTAGAGATACATAAATAAACACTCACTCCCCCATTCACAATATGTTTCCTAATATTGCTTTTTGGATGGATAATATAGTTTTAACTTATGATTTTTATTTGTGCAAAATACAGTCGGACTTCTATTTAACGAAATCTCTAAATCCCGAAAAAAAGTTCGTTGTATGGAAAATTTGTTAAATAGAGAGTCATCTTTTAATATACTTTTGAACCACATAAAACAAATTTTAAATTCATAAACACATTATATTATTTTTAAAAAAGTAATTATTTACACCAGTGATGCTCACAAGGGGGGTCCTAGAAGTCCGGACCCCCCAAAGCCGTTGATTTTTTTCCCTATTGATTATAATTCTAAGAGAATAGCACGTAAAATTTAGTTAAATATTTGTTATTAATGATTAATTTTATTAATTAATGCTAATTATTTATTCAATAAATATTTTTTTACTGTTTTTTGTTCCCGAAAATCGACAAAATCACAATTAGCCTGATACAAGAATGGTGGACTTTCGACCCTAGAAAAATTCCTGTGTGCGCTACTGATTCACACTTATTTTGAAAGTTAATATCTATTCATTTTCACCTATCAAAAAGAAATCTAGAAGGAAAACAACAAGAAGAAAAAAGGCATTGTCCAGAGGAATACACCATTTTCAACTTTAAAAAATAATTTTATATTAAACCTAATGAATTTTTTAATGACTTTTTTGAATTTTAACCCTACTAGTAATTTTGAACGTACATTATTTTATAACCAGTAATTTTAAGCTCACTACGATATGCATCCCTAAATTTAATTACGGATAAATATCTTAGTTTTGTTTGAGTTTTTTTGTTTGAAAATTTGTGGCCATATTACAGTACTTTAGGAGAGTTAGGCCCGTGGTAATACCAGTTAAAGAGGACCTTGATTCCCATTAAAAGTGCTAAAAGAGGTAATAATTTGAAAAATCACTTGAAATTTTTTAAAAATAATTAGAAAAAAAATCGAATTACAAGAGAAAAAGTTCGTTGAATAGAAAATGCACCTCGTTATTTGGAGGTTATTTTACAAAGAAAATAGTAAAATTTTCTTGGTTCCAGGAAAAAGTTCGCGAAACAGAAAAATTCGTAAAATAGAGGTTCGTTATATGGTGGTTTGACTGTATTTGAAAATTACGGCTACAACTACAAAGCTCATTAAGTTTAAAATAAAAGATTATCAAAACATAAAAGTAAAGACAAACTTAACCATAAAGAAAAACTGAGATTATATATGCTTTATTTTAAATAAATGAGAGAGTCCAATATTCATAAACACTTTAAACTGAGAACCCGCCCCTTGAATTAACATAAATATAGTTTTTATTTTATGATTTATCTTTATTTATTATTATTTTCTTGCTAAGATTTTATTTAATGGTAAAGATAGTGAGGGGGAGAAGATTCCATTTATAAAGTTCTTGCTTTGATATGTAAAGGTTTAGAGACGTATCTAACATTTTTCTTTTTGTCGAATATCGAGTTAAAAAATAAGAAGATAAGATGCATGATTTTTAAAATTTGTAAATAATTCACAAATATAAATTGCTCCATATATTTTTGCCTCATTTTGGGAATTTTTGAAAGAAATTTATACAGACAAATTGGTAGGGCAGCATTCCATATAAAAGAAGAATATATATGTTTTTTTTCATTCTTTGCCTAACAATTACTTTATAAATTATTGTAAAAATATTTTTTTAACAATTTTGCATGTACCTTCTAATTCAAGTGATACTAAATATAAATATACTAGTCATTACCCTCCAACTTTGCTGGATATTTCACGATGTTGTACGCAAATATATTGTTTACAGGTTCGAATGTATTAGAAAACATTCTTATAACTTTCATCTTATGATTTAAAATGAAAAGGATTTTAATTTCTAAAATTGGAGTTGATAATTATTTTTTACGCTCCCGTAGCCCCTTCCTTTAAAGTGGATTTCCGAAAACCCCATTTTTAATGGATCTCTACTCAACAAATTAAATATGCATGCCAAATTTAAAGTCTAGATCTAATAGGTGAAAAACGGAAATTTGTTAATCGATAAGTCCTGTAACCCCCTTTTAGAGTCGATTGCCCGAAGACCCATTCATAGTGGATTTCAATTCAACCACAACAACAAAAAAAACTCGCATACCAAACTTATTGGATCTCTATTCATCAAAAGAAACATGCTTATCAAATTTCAAGTATGTGCATCTAACAGGTTTTCTTTGTATACCGTTCCTTTTAAAGCATTTACAGTTCCCTTTGAGGATCAATTTTTGCAATACCTGTTCTTAGAGGAGCTATACTCCTTGAAAAGAAAGTACCTAACAATTTAAAATCTGTAGGTCTAATAGTTTGAAAACGAGAATATCTATCTATAAAGCCCCTTAAGGCCCCACAATGCTTGTTTCTTAGATGTCGATTTCCCCCAAATCCCTTCTTAGCGGATCTTTACTCCATGAGAGAAGCATGCCTATCAAATTTCAAGTCTGTAGGTCCAATAGTTCCGGAGATATCGTGATGAGTGAGTGAGTCTCGCTTTTCTCCTTTATATATATATAAAATTATTCATTTTTTTACGCTTTTTCAAAATCACAGTTCTGAATGTAGTCGGATATCTTAATTAAATAAAATATTCCTTGTATATATATATAACATAAACCTTCAAAATAGATGTACATTCTCCCTAATAAATTTAACACGTATTTTAACATTCTTTTTGTTTAAACGAACTTTAAGATAAACGTTTCTAATAAATTTACATTAAAAAAATACCCGTTTACTTTGATGCTGTAAACATTAATAACACATCACATGAGGATTTTGAGACAGAGAATTCGACTTAATATCAATAATCCTGTTATTCCATTCAACTTGTTGGACTCAGGACTTAATCAATGATTCAACTCGAAGCTCACTATACTATCTACAGGATTTTATTGTCTTATAATAAGGTTTAAATGAAATGAGTATTTGTTAACGTCAAACTCTAAAGCAACGACGGACCTCGTAATTTTAACCCGCAGTTAGAGATGAGGATGACACCTAAGCCGGCACCTAATAATGACACCTCTCCTGATTTCAACTCCTCGTTAAAATGAGGACCACTGTTTAGAGCCACGAGTGGGTCTTCAGTGGCATCAGGATTTGAACCCGTGATTCTACAACGCCGACCATGAGTTCGGGATCATGACCACTTGGATACGAGTTTAAATGGAATATTTGTATAAATCTTCTGGGGGATTTGGCATACTATACAGTCCTATCACATTAATGTAATCACCACGTACTTTCGACATTGACGTTAAATCACCAATCACATAAGGCAGGTGACAGCACAGTGCATTTGAGCGTGTATAAAAGATGTGAGAGGGCTACGGAAAGCATTGCAATTGTTGGCGTAATACAGAAACGGGGCGATTTATCCGACTTCCAAAAGAGCATGATCACTGACTTTCGGACCAAGTGCGGGAGCATTTCCGAAACGGCTAAGTTGGTGAACTGTTTGCGTACTGCCGT